GAAGTCCTATTCTATCATGTACCAGGGTGTATCTTTGCTTAACTTTGTGTTCAGAATTCTATGAAATTTTCTGGCATCTTTTATCAAACTTTCTGAGATTTTATTTTGCAATCTTATTACTATAGCTATTTCTACCTATCTATCCACCTGTTTTTATCTCTATATAAGTTATTTATATGCATATAAGTATTATCTATCTATATAAATACACATCCATACAAACTTTGGTTTAATCTCCCAAATTTTTATCATTTGAGCTTTACACTTTAAAAACTTAGCTTGCCCTACTTTCACATTCACTAGCCTTTATGTTACTTGCCCTATTATTTCTTTCAGTTCCTCATTGCTATTGCTTTTGCAGTAATACAGGTGCTCTGCTCATCTTGGTGAAGTGATTTGTTGAAGTAATACAGGTGCTCTGCTCATCTTGGTGAAGTTTTGAGCTGTGTTTCCTGGATTCCCTGCTGCTGTTCTGGAAGTCCCAGCTGGGATTAAAGGAAAGATAGCTCAAATCTTGAAGCACTCTTAGCACTAGTTATTGCACAGGTGAGGAGTACCCAGGACATCGTTGAGCTCCCTCAGAGGAAGAGCCATGGTTTCGCTAATTGGTTGGACATTATTGCTCTTTATTGCTCCCACTGGACTTGGGAACATTTTACCTTTTAAATTTCTCTCTTCTCTCTCTGTAGCTGATAAAATAGGCTTTATTATTATTGTTGTTGTTGTTGTTGTACTGGGAATTGAATTCAGAGGTTCCAGTCCTTTTATTTAGAGACAGGATCTGAGTTGCCTAGACTGGCCTTGATCTTGGAGATCTTCCTGCCTCAGTCTCCTGAGTCACTAGGATTAAAGGCATTTGCCTCCACACTCAACGGATAGTTTCGAATCAGATGGAAAAGCACAAGGATACAGTATTGTTCTAGAAGGGAGTTATGAATCAAACTTCATTTGGTTAACTACATTTAGCACAAAAGATCTAGAACACATAGACTAAACAGACAGGGAGTTTACAGTTAATACGTTAAAGCAATCCTAAAAATAAAGCTGTATTTTTGTACTAACTGGATCTTGATTACTATCCTGTCTGTAAAATACAATGTCCAGTATAGTAGGAACAGAAGAAAGCAGACTCTACTTTTATCATATGTATTTCTTATCTTTATTTTCTGTAAAGAAAAATTGACTTTGTAGTTCCTAAATTTAGTTAAATTGATGGACAAAAAATGACTTGAAATTCAGCCTCACCTTGTTCACAGTAGATTCCAGTGGTTCCTAGAGGACAGTAACAGGTGTATCCATGAAGCAATGAAATACAGGTTGCTCCCATGCTGCAGCGGTGTGGGGGGTCGTGTTCAGGATCACAGGAAGTGACTGTCTCTGTGCAGAATGCTCCTTTCCACCCTGTGGGACAGTTGCAGCTGTAGGTTGAGAGAGAAATTAGCACGTGAATAGGGTTGGATATACTCTTGTTGTCACTCTGATATAAAGTTTGCAACGTTAATTAGGTCCCAAGATTACGTAGGTGCATTGTGATTCAAGCAATCAAGATCAAAATTGTCAAAGGAAAGCATTAATAACTGGTTATAAGATTACTGAACTCCATATCAAGTATTTAAAAAGGTTCAAAGCATGGAAATAGAACATTTTATGAAAATCATTTCTTTCTTTTTATTTTTTGGTATTGGAGAGTGGGGTGCTCTACCACTGAGCTATATCCCAGCCCTTTTATATATATATATTTTTTATTTTGAGACAGGGTCTCACTAATTTGCTGAGGTTGGTCTCAAACATGCAATTCTCCTGCCTCAGCCTCCAGAGTTGCTGGGACTACAGGCATGTGCTACTGTACTTGGGCAGAATAATTTCTTTTGACAAAACCACACTGTAGGTCCCTCTCCTTTTCTGCACACCACCATGGGGAGGAGTTTCTGCCTCTTAACCTTAAATCTGAAGAAAGGAGATTCAGCAGCATTATTTGGAGAGTTTCCTATATGTTCCCTTGTATAAGAGAACACAGAGGCCTAGCTCTTGAGGAATCTTGCCAGGGGTGTGTCACATATAAGTGAATCTCAGGGAAGGTATGCAACACTCTTAGAAATGTCAGACAGAGGTCATAAAATAGGGATCATGCACAAGAGCTGTCCTCCTGGCCAAAAAGACTTCAGTAGTAAAAGGCCCTCTATCAGCTTATGCTTGATGCAGACTATGAGGGCTGGCAGGGAGGACCCAGTTGGAAGAGAGACCTTGCCTGGGTTTACAGTGTCATACTGGGAGAGGCCCAAGTAAGGGAGTTGCTAATGGACGGACCAAAGGTAGGAGTTACCAGGCAAATTCAGGGCATTGACTAATTTGAAATGTCTGATAAACATTGATTTTTTTTGTGTGTACATGTGTAAGCATATCTGATACTGTATTTGAATTTCAGGTAAACAGTATTTTGGATATGCTGAAAATTATTTGTTGTTTATTTGAAATTCAAATTTATCTGGGCACCATTTATTGTCTCCTTTTCCCCCTAAATCTGGCAGCCCTCATTAAATGACATAGTAGAGTAAGTGTCAGCTTTAAATCCTTGCCAGAGAGGACTAAATCTATCTAAAATAGTACCAAAGAAGCACATTCTAAGATAGGGCATGGGGTCTAGGGTTAGAAAC